TTGCAATTAGGTTTGCCAATCATTGTTTAAAATATGGAGCAGTGTGTTCTTTATTGTTTTATTAAGGAACTCGTCTTTCAGGGACATTTCTAATTTTTTAAGAAAAGCTGGCAAAGCTAATTGCAAAACAATCTACGGCAAAAGGTCCACACTGGTATACTTCTACACCAGTAAGCATATTGAGGGTAATGGTGCGTTCACTGTCTTGCCCAAGAGCTTCAGCATGCTGGAGGGCCTGGAGATCAAACCCCCTAATCTTCTGTTTGAAAAGCAACCTTCTTAATATTAGACCAAAGCTGCCCAGTATTCACATAATTAATTGTCTATTGTGTGAAGTTTTTGTTCTAGTTGGTGTAAATTTGTCATGGACTGAGCCCCAGTCTGACAAGCTGTTAGTTTGACCTCTCCATGAGATTCTCTTCAGGATTTCTCCAAACTGAGCTCATTCTGTTGGCTATAGCAGACAAGATATCAACCATTCATTACCTATTTATAGAATCCCACTTAAAATAAATAAATTCAAAATTGTTTATTTTGGGCAAATGAGTCTAGACAAAGTTCTTATTGTCAAGTGTGATGTACAAAATGCTTCCACCATCCAACGTTTTGCCGTTTCTCATGGCTTAGCATCAACAACTAGCCTCCAGAGCAGCTCAGCCTCACAGGAATATCAAATTAAAACTCAAATCTGCTGCTACTACACCCCTTCCTGCTCCGCAGAAACACAGTACACAGCACACACGTAAGTAGGCTACAATTAAACTGATGCCTCGGCCACCGCCTCGCACTGCTCCTGGAACAATGGCTAAAAAGTGAATCTGCAGGCCCAACTTGGCCCTGTATTGTCAGGGTCTTGTTGCTGTGTTCGAGAATCCCCTGAGGACAGAGGCCTGGGTTAGGGTTCGGAGACACTGCTGCTAGAAACTGAGGTACTCAGAGTTGATTTGTCTGTCCACGTGGGGTTTATGCACATCTACAAACCGCAGAAAGCATACAGATAGTAGTGTGTCTGCTGTGTTTTGCGAGTGCTCAGATCATGGTGCAACACACCCAGGAACTGGGGTCTTTACTGCAGATATATGACAACTGATAGATACATTTTACTAAAAGAAAAGAAAAAAGTCACAACCAATAAAACTGTGTTTGTAAAGGACCTGCTTCAAGGCAAGGTGGCCTCATCTTGTAAAGATCAAACAGGAAAAAGTCAGCAAGAAATGGAGACGTTGCTACTTTTTGAAGTCTTTTTGATTCCTGGTGGCCCTCAAGGGCAGCTTGAGATGGAAAGACCTTGCCATCCCCTCGGTTGAGGATCGTAAGGTTGGAGTCAAGAGTCCTTCACAGTGGCGAAGCAGTAGTAAAGCAGTTCTTTGTGCTTTGTTTGATGAGGGCTGTGACAAACACCGCATAGAATGCTGTCAAGTTCATGGGTAAAGGAAAAGAAGGCAGGGTGATGGGATAAAAAGGCTGCTCTGCAACATGATGCCCCGTCTTGTCTCTCTGCCAGGGCAGCTTGTTTTTACAAAGAGGTGGTAAAAACTGATCCGCTGAGGATCAAAAACAAAACATCGGCTGTAATTTCCAAGGATGTCGTCGCGTCGTTGCCTTGAAAAGGTTGTAGTTGTACAAACAAGTGACTCATCGTAACAACAGTTGTAAAATCCTAGCAGTTTCTTTCTTTTTCATCACAAAAAAAAAAAAACAACAACAAAGCTTTAAAAGCTACAAAATCTGCTTTCTTTTGTATTGATTGAAAATGAGAATCTGGTCAATTTTTCCAAGGAGGTTGTCAGAAAACATGCAGTATTCACATGAACAAAATGTGCCAGTCCAGTGTGTGTATTGCAAGAGAACATGAGGGAGATAAGGTACAATAAAAATTTCTTTAACAATATTCTCTTTGTACTTTTCTATTTACATTTCTTTCTATACATATAGCTATATATTTAAAGTGTAAACTGTGTTCAAAGGAAACCTCCACATTTAGCTGGTTAGGCACATGTAGTTGCTTCTAAGAGATAGTACAGAGAAGGGGATACAACAGTACATGATGTGAGAACCACAGACAGATACTCAGTAGGATCGTACTTGGCAAGACTGTTCTTGCCAGTCATACCCTGTAACCTGACTCACAAATTCAAGATAATAATAGTCATCTGAATTTCTTTTTCACATGTACTGAGTCTGGATATGCCACACAGCTGCAGTATACCACAAGGCTATAATCTATCATAATAATACTGCAGTATTTCACGTTTGATATATAGGTTTTGTACATATACTGTATTCAGTAATCTCTACGCATCTAGAAATGTAGATTATATTATAAAATATACATCTCCCAGTAAAATATCTCTTTTCTCCCCTTACATATTCCATCAAAGAAAACAAAGAAGGGGAAAAAGTCATGCTTAAAAATTCCAATATTCTTCATTTCTCTTTGAAATAGCAGATTTTGACTCTTGGGTTTAGGCTTCACGCAGCCTTTCATGTTTAATAACCGCAGTGCATTCACACGCAAGCAATTACACAGCAACTGTATGAAATACTCATAATAAAACCAATTATTCTGACCTAACTTTGTAAACAAGACTCCTTAAAAAAATAATAACTTGTGCTAAACTTTGTAAAGTGGAAACTCCATGTAGTAAACATTTCAGGAGGTAAATTACGTGAAACATATTGCACAACAAACAAAATCAGTGTTCTGTTTCAAACAGACGTCAGATATTATAACTTTAATAAGTATTATAAATTGTTTTACTGTTGGTTTCTGAGATGACTCTTTGGAAGGACTTTGAATAGAGCTGTTGTTCATAGTAAAAGGATCCATTTTGTTTCTTTCAGCCAAGAAAATCAGTCGTTCTTTCATACTGGCTGTGTGAAACTAGGAATAAACTTGAAAATAAATAAATGGTCATTTTAACGTGTGCTTCTGAGAGGAAGTAATAAATAGTGAACATCTTCCCTGTTGTAGGTAGATTCTTGAACAGCTTCAATTTGTTAAAAAAAAAAAAAAAAAAAGAGTTCAAATCTGACAGGACTGATGAGCTAAAGGCTAGTCCGTACACAGTCAAGTGGATTGCTGCCATCTTAAAACAACTCCACTGAATTGCATTTACAAGTGTAACTAATGGCAGCCACAGCTAGCTGTAGCACTTCTAGGGCATCCAGGTTAATGATTGGCAATAAATTAATATTTCCACATAAATAACCGTATAATGAGAAATATGATTGGTTTTAAAAATTGAGCTGCTTTCAGGCAGCAGTAATCTAGTTTGGAAGTGGGTCCATTTGGCTCATATCTTAGCCAAGCTAAGCGTGGCTTAAATATGATTCAGATAGACCCAATTCAGTAGGCGACTGCCGCCTTCTAAGAATAGCTCAAATCTTCAAAATGTCATAGCAGCTTGTGCAAACGCTAATTTATAAACTTTTCCATCACTGTCAGCTTCACATTACAGTTATTTTGGTGTAAAAATTAGAACATTCTGCTGGATGTGACCCCTGGATGCACCGAAAGTACCATCTCTCCTTGTCGCTGTTGCTATTTAAAATTGGAGCCATTTCAAAAGAGCACTAATCCAACTGCATTCCACCTAGCCATTAGCTCATCAGTCCTGTTGGACTTGAACTCAGTTTCTACAAACTGAAGTTATTCATGAAGCTATCTACAACAAGTATAACATTAATTACGTATAACCTTTATACATAAACTCACTTCAAAAGGGCCTAACAGCCCTTTAAAGGGAATGTGGCACATTGCAAAACAAACAAAAATAACTTTGTTCACGTCAAGTATTTCCAACATAATTGTCCAATATTACCAGTAGAGCAGGTTTTTAGTGTAAATGGGTCTACTGTTTGTTTCTGACGACTCTTTGGAAAGACTCTGAAGAGAACTAGCATTTGTAGTAAATGGCTCTAATTTGTTTCTTTCAGCCAACAACATCCATTGTTCTTTTATCAGTGCTGTGTGAAACTGAGTGGAGCATCTTTTAAATTTGAGAAAAACATAAAAAGAAAAGTCCATTCAAGCAATATTCAAGAGAACGGAAAGAGCTGTGAGAAATAAACAAACCGATCTCCTTTCATGGCTGTTTCATTGGGGGGGTGTTCATGGCTGAGATGAAATAAACTCTCTACAGACCGCTGTTGTCAGAATGCATTCTCGTTTGACCACTTGGTGGTGCTTTACTCTCACAGTGAAAAGTCGAGTCTGGAAAGCCACCGAAACACACGACACCCCACCCCTTAAAAACCCCCAGCAACCTCTCCCATGTACCGTTCGAAGCTTCGTAGAGACTATACAAGGAGCAAACCGCTCTATTATTTTGTCTCTCTCTTTAGTTTTGTTTGTCATACTGAAGGCTGTGATGCTACACTGCAAAAACTCCTTTTGGCAAAAAAACAAAATAAACCACGAGTGTGCACTCTGTAGACTAACAGCACTTTCGAAGAGCCTCCCTGCTGAATGCCGAGAGGAGTTGATGGATACATAGGAACTAAACAAAAATGCAGAGACAAAAGAATAGTTTCGTACTCTCTGAGGGAGTGCCTGTGTGAACAGATGGCACCTGAGCGTAAGGTGCAAGTTCTATTTGTTGGTTCAAAGGAAAATGCTCGTCGAGTCTCACTTGGAGGGCGTTTAAACAAAATGCTGAGAAATTCGTACATGTTGATTCATCTTCATGTAGCATCAGTGAAAGGTACAGGTACACGGAGGTTGTGAATTCAGAAAGCCTACAAATAGTCTTGCTGTAAATGGCATCAGGGGTCCACTCTGGGAGATCCTGTCCGAGGTCTTGTGCCTGTTGAGCCCTTTATGTGCCAAGTGAACACGCACAGGCATGCTACGATGTGAACCGCTGCTGACTACTGTTACAAAAGTGCACTGTTCTTTGTCAGCCAAAATGACTGTAAATAAAAATAAATAAAATTCAGAGTATACAGGAAGGAAGTAAAAATGTCTTCTTTTAGTTACCTATTTAAGATCTAGGCCTCCGTGTCGACAATATGTTCGAATTTCAAGACACTAAAATGGCTGTCATTGCTTGTTTAATGGGTGGTTACTTGATTTGATGGACAGTGGTGAGGGGAGTAGCTTGTGGACAGTGAGGACTTGCAGAAGGTTATAAAAAAAACTCTGCAGGAGTAAAGGGTTGGTGTACGGAAGAGTGTTCAGAGTCTAGTCTGGGCTTCGGGGATGTAGATCTCAATGCTGTCGGCACTCTCTGTGGCCGAGTTCTGCCTGAATGAGGCGGTGCGCTTGGTCTGCAGCAGCCTCCTTCTCGCCTCTGTCCTCTGGCGATCCCCGAGGTCCAGAGATTTTTCCCTGATGGGAAGGGTGTGCCCTCCAATTCGTGGCACCACTAGCCCTCCCGACCCACTTCCTCCACTTCCGGCGACCCCGTCTCCCACGCTATCGTCTCGGAGGCTGCCACTCACCCCACCTGCTGGCTTCTTTGGTAAGGGAGGAGGAAGTTTCTTGTCCTCCTAAACCCCGTTGATGGTGAGATGTAGATATAAGATGAAGGGACAGTGGATTTATCGAGTTGGGTGGTGAAAGAGATGGATTTGTCAAGTGGTGTAAAATATACCCCATGCAGGAAAAAAGTGAATTTAACAAACATGGAAAAAAAAAGAGAAACCCCAAAAAAGAAAAAGACAAAAACACAGAATAAACAAGTCAGCACGCATTGATGTTGGGTAATGAAAGGAATTGAAATGGGAGAACAGAGGTAAAGTGAACAAAGAAAGAAAACAGAAACAATAGTTAGTGTGGTACTGAAAATTGTCAAGTCGATCAGAAGGTGGACTAAGCTTTCAAGAAGAGAATGTTCCGGGTCTCCTTTTATGCAATGCAAGAAATCAAACAAAATAAACAGGTAAAATAAAATAAAAAGACAAATCAAATATAACTCGCTGTTTAAATTGTTAGTTTTGCGTCAGCTCAGTTCCTCTTGCTGTTCTGCATTTTTACAGTCTGCAAAGGCTCCAAAGGCAAAGCCACCTTTGCTACTCGTCTGCACTCAGCCATCTTGGCTCTGGGAGAACGCTGAAGGGAAACCAGAGCTGTTTGAACCCCCAGGCCTCTCACCTTCTTTTCAGGTGGGAGCCTCCAACCAGAGTCCTTGATCCTCTGGAGGTCCTGAAACTTAACCCTTACATCCTCGATGTTGAGCTGGAGCAGTTCCCAGAAGGCTGCCAGGTCCTGCGATGTGGGTTGAGGGTAGGCGGAGGGGTCCTGAGCGAGCGGGAACACAGGAAGACGACATGTGTTGATTGTCAAAGTAACGCTCGAAGGTTTGCTTTACGCCAAGCAGATCTGGCTTGCCTTGATAAAACCATATGCAACACATGTTGTGTACTACGTACCACACTTTGCTGGCACAGACGGAAGAACTGCTGGACTTTTTGAGACATGAGCATCTGGGCACTGCCAACTGCGTTTCGAATGAGCTCGAGAACTGGCAGAAAGACAGCACACGTGTTCTTGTACAAATCCAAGGATTACTTAGTTGTGCATGTTCGAATACTCTGAAACTTACTCTCCTCGAGAAGTTCGTTCTCCTCCGCCTCTCTCTCCATGTTCTGGCACCAGCCCTCCATCCTCTCCACCTCTGTTTGCAGAAGGCGCAAGAAGAACTCCCCATCTCTCATGCAGGGCGAGGTTCGGCCCGAGTCGGGCAGGCTGCGTGGGCCCTCGATGGACGGCGTCCCCGTCCAGGCTCGCTCCGATGTAATGGGCAAAGGGGTGTGGGCACGAGGAGGCAAGTGTGGAGCCTGGTGGGGCAGCGAGTCGGCTTGGCAGGCCTCTGAGGTATACCCACCCTGTATAAAATCCTGGCATAACATTCGAATCACTTAGAAGCACCGAGTCTGACTCCAGCTCATCTGACTTCTAGTGAAATAAAGTAGCTGCAACAATAAACTGAATTTCAATTCATTTTGAATTAATCTTCTAATATCTTTGTCAGAATCACATTAAAGACAGGGACTACTGCATCGAGTAGTATTTCAGTGTTTAGCTTTTAATGTACTTTATTCTCTTCACAATAAGCAGAAAATCCAACAAACACACATTTCAACAAACACGAAGGTGAAGAAAGCTTAAAAATACAAATGCTTACAACCTATTTTCTGAGCCTGAAGATTTTAAAAGTACAGTGAGAACGAGTGGTAAGAACTAACACACTCGACAAAATTTACTAAAAGTCTAAACAGGGCTATTCAACTGGCGGCCCGGGGGCCAAATCAGGTCCATGGGTGTGCTAAGTTCGGCCCACCAATGGGTTCATTTTTAAATAAAACTAGATTTTAAATCGTAAAACAAGATTACTTACCATAAATTTCGCTGTATAAGTTGCAGGTTTTTTTGCATAAATTAGCATGTCTGCGACTTACACACTGAAGCAAATAATATATGTTTTCCCCCATATTTATAACCCAATTTTTGGTCGAGATCTGTCGATTTCATTCATTCGGACATGGAAAATATTAAACATTACCATTTTCAGCTGCTAGAGGGTGCTTGAGTAATATGGCAAGCCAAGTGTCTCATTAATAGGTAAAAGTGGCTATTAAGGAGACACTTGGTTTGCCATACAAAGACACCTTCGTCTTGCTCCAAACTCCTGGAGCGAACGTCAAATCAGCTGCATTTCACTGCGACGCCCAGGAGAAATGCAGCAGATTTGACCATCAAAGTGCATTTATTAAGGAAAAGTTCAACTGAGACACACCTTTACTATAATGTCGAGCAAACAAATAATTGTTTTTAAGTGTTAATCTTGAAAAATTCTTGTTAAAGTTCTTCCGCGCTCGCTCCCGTGCTTGCCGTTTGGCAGCCAATCAATTTTTGGCACACCAGCCCACGTTTCCAGGTTGTCAGCGGCGACGCATAATAGATGAGACTTATACGGCAAAACGACGTATTTTATGTTTTTTTCCACTTCATTAGACATATTTGGAACGACGCCACTTATACGGCGGTGCGATGTGTACGGCGGAAACGACCATAATGAAATAACCGCTGGATGTCCAGTTCCTGAGCTCTTGGCATTCAGTAACTGTGGCCCCTCTGAGCAGTTTAGTTGAATCGCTCTGCTCTAAAAGTATTTTAAGTCCAGATGAAGCGCTCCGTGTGCAGACCCACCTCTCTGTAGGCCCACTGGCCCTGTGTGTGGACGGTGCGGTGGCACTCCGTGTACTGGCTCGCGGACTCTGGCTCTGACGAATGCCTCTGGAAGGAGCAGCCGAACTGGAGACTCTTGTCCTGTGTTGGCACGGCAATGCTGAGCCCCGGGAAGCCCTCGGGGTCCAGGTCGGCCTGCACGCTCGCCGTCACGCTGTTGGAGCGTTTGAAACGTGCACGCCTGCAAGACAGAATCATCACAAATCCAGGCCTGCTCAGTCACACGCAAACCTTTATCAGTTTTTTTATTTTATTTTTTTATAAAATGTTTGTCTCATAATTGCACATCCTAATTTGAGCTGGACTGAGCTGTGGGCCATCACTGCAGCTCGACTGGTTGTGATAAGTCCTGCTAAATCCTCTGGCATATGACGCATCAGTGTGTGCAAATGTCACGCCACGCTCATGAGTGTTTACCCTGCTGCAAGTTAATACCCCACCTTCCCTCATCTGTCTGCCGTCTGACCATGTCTGACTCAGAGTTGTGTTATTGGCCTCCTGTTTTCATTTCTGGTGATGGGGGGGGGCATCGTGAAGGAGTGCATGAGCACACTCTGCAATGATGTGAGTGTCCGCATGCATGCGTGCAAATCTGCCCCACAAGCAAGGTTGGAAATAATTAGAAGTGCTGAGTCACAGGCGAAAGTCGTGGCGAGTGGATGATTCGCTGTAGTCATGGTTACGCTCACAAACGGTGAACCAACCAACAACAAAAAAAGAGACGTTCTTGGAGTTCAAGCTGCGATACCTGATGAAATGTTAAATCAGTTAATAGGACCGAGACTCCAAATCAGCCGTGCGCGGCTGCACTGTTGGGCGCACACGAAGACGAGAGCCTTTTTCTGAATACAAATTCAAATTATTCACATAAATTACGGTAAGAAGACCAACAGTCCTTGATGAAGGCATTTATTATTGTGGAGGGGAAGGAGATGAATGTACACAAACACGGCTCTTAGTTTGCAGTTTGCGTGTATAACAGCACAAACGAAAATGTCAAGCAAAACAACTCCAGCTGGGACGAAGTTGTGAAGATGAATACATGTTTATAATTTGGACTTTGCACTTCTGTTACCTTTTCTCATCTTCCACTTGGATTCCTACAGAGTGCACCTCTGTTAGGGCCTTTCCTTCATTGTCTGAGTCTGACAGGGTCTCTGAGCTGTCCACCTGCAACACGAAAGGAAAAAATAAACCACAGCAGTCAGAGTTTGGCAACAAAGAACAACTAAAAGAGCTAAAACTAAAGGAATAGATGATGATGGAAGGATCGATGGAAATCTGTCCTTCCACACATCTAAACGCCCACAGCTACAGCTGGTTAATCTAAAACAACAGAAACAGGTGCATTAGTAACCTGCAGGCGCTATAAATGCATGCAGGTTACTAATGCACCGGCAGTCTTTAATATAAAGTGCGGGAAGCTTTTGGCCTCCATTTGCAGTGCGTCTGCAAATTACAACAGCTCAGTATGATCGAACTGATCGTGGACGTGAAGCGAGAGTGAAAATGCAATCTTTGCTTGTTTTTAGATGTTCAGATTTCTTCATGCTCAACGATGAGTCATAAGGACACGCTGGTTCCCTCAGTCACCCAGGACAAGGGAGCACTGGGACGTTTAATCAAAGCTATCTCAACCTTTTCAGTCTCCAGCTGAACAAAGCTCCTGAGATGAGAAGAGAAACACCTTCAACATTCAAAATCAACTCCAGCGGACTTGATTTCCACTCGTGGTTTTAGTCCAGCATACTTAGAAAACCCAGCAAATCAAGTCAAGTTGCAGCTCCCCTCAGAGGCCTCAAGTTCATCGTAACAGTTAGAGGAATCTATTTACAGAAAGACTAAATCATTTTCTTATTTGTGTGAATGTTTTTAAAATGTTCACAATGTTTAGATCCATTTTTCTCCTGTACTTTTGTCAGAACGTTACTCTTTACACACGCTTTGAGCTATTTGATCAGTTCATGGAAAAAAACTTACAACTCATTCAGGATTAGTCTCAAATGTCCCCCCTGGGATTAATAAAGTTAGTTTGTTAGTTCGTTAGTTAGTTAGTTCCTTCCTTCGTTCCTTCCTTCCTTTTTGGTATTCATGCAATTTTTACAATTAGAAATATTTAGCTTTGTCTGCCATGTTTTCCTCATTGAAAATGAATGGCGCTCTTCACACCCCCTTCAAAAACTCTTTGTGCTGTTTACATCCTGTTACTGCTCATTTCAGCTTTTGTTCTTGAGCAGCTTCTTTGTGATAATTTTAGCTATCTCCAGCTCCTTTCAGTTTCTTTCTGCTACTTTAAGCTTTTTTCAGTAACAATTTAAAGTACTTTTCTGCTAATTTTTGTCTTTTGTGATTATTTTGAATAATTTAAATGTCTTTAATTTTTCCAACCTCTTTCTGTTAATTTCAGATTTTGTGTGTGTGTGTGGTTTTTTCAGCTATGTTTTTGTTGTTTCTAATTTTAGTGTTTTTTTCCCTGCTCATTTCAGTTGATTAATTTTACTAATTTCATAGTTTTAAATCTATTCAGCCTCCCTCTGCCCATTTAAAGTATTCTGCCAATTTCTGCTACTTTCAGCTTTTTCTGCACATATCTGTAATTTTTCAGTTGCTTTCTGCTGTCAGCGAATGTCAGCTGTTCAAAGTCAGCTTGCATTATTAGTTTAGCGATGAAATCTATCCAGCCTGGTTTCAGAATGAGCAGTTTATGTTGAAGAACAACGCTGCCCTCTTTAGTTGATATTACATCAATGGTCTGCATTAGCGAGGCTAAATGGTCACCTGTTATAAATTGACTCAGCAAAACTAAACTAAACTCGATAAAACAAATAAAGTTCAAATAGTTTCAAATGGGGGCAGCACGGTGGCGCAACTGGTAGAGCTGCTGCTTCTCAGTGAGCAGGTCCTTGGTTCAAACCCCGGTCCAGGGGCCTTTCTGGGTGGAGTTTGCATGTTCTCTCCGTGCATGCGTGGGTTTTCTCCGGGTACTCCGGTTTCCTCCCACAGACCAAAAACATGCATGTTAGGCTGATTGGTAACTCTAAATTGTCCCTAGGTGTGAGTGAGAGAGTGAATGGTTGTTTGTCTCGTTTGTCTCTATGTGGCCCTGTGATGGACTTGCGACCCGTCCAGGGTGTACCCCGCCCCTCGCACAGTGACTGCTGGACATGGGCACCAGCGAACCCCGTGACCCAAAATGGAAGAAGCGGGTAAAGATAATGGATGGATGGATAGTTTCAACTGTCCGTTCTCACCTGGACAGCTATAGATGGCCTCCACTTCCTGCCCCCACGTCCATCGTCTTGCCCACCAGCCTTACTCAGCACGATGCTGTTCTGAGTAAGAGAGGAGGACTTCCCCAGGCTGCCGACCACCCTGCTGTCCCGTTCCCTCGCCGGCCTCGGTGGACCCTCCAGCAGGCTGTCAGCTGAGCAGCTGTGTTTGGCCCTCACCCCAACTCCCGGTCCCCCGCTGTAGGGTACCAGCTCCCTCGAACCCCTGACCCCATCCAGGCTCTCTGCAGAGTTGCTGTGCTGTCTGGAACATCCGGGGCCGCTGGTCATGTAGTACCCGCCTCTGGAAGTGCGGCCCGAGGGCCCGTCAGAGCTACCAAGGTCCACTGAGTTGCTGTGCTGCTTGGGGCGCCCGGGGCCGGGGCCTGCAGCCATCTGTCCACCGCTCTGAAAGTAGGCATCCTGGGTGGACTCAGTGCTGCTCTGGGCTCGCACCGAGAGAGAAGACTTGGACATGCGAGGCGGGAGCGGTGGTGGAGCACCTTTACGGTAAGGAAAGACTGAAGCACGAGAAGAGAGAGGAAGAAGAAGAAGACACAGGTGTGGAGGGCAGTTAAAAGTGAAGGATGTCTGCAGGGTGAAGGGCAGATGGGTACTTACAGAAAGAGCAGACTGAAAGGAGAATGTAACGGAAAAGTTAAAGAGCAAAAAGAAAGATGTAAAGGAGAGATAGCCAGCACAGGGGAGATGGAGAGAGAACATCAAGACAATTGAGAAAATAAAAACTCAATAATTGAGACAAAAACATATAAACTCAACTCATATGTGACCCGACACACTGAACTGAGGATTAGTGTAGTGAGATATAGACAGCTATATTGTGCTGCTCCCTTCCTCAGGGGTTGCCACAGAGAGACAACTTTGGCAACTGTTTTGATGTTGGATGTCCTTCCTGATGAAGCCACTGAGCACTGAGCTACCACCGTCCTCTGTGTGCAGCAGAGGACTGCCATCCAAGGCACCTGGGGATGGTGGGTTAAGCACCTTGCTCAAAGAGCCCACAGTGGGGCAAATGAGGGTGGAGACAGATGTAAATGCTTCACAAGCCCTAAATGTTTGATTCTTATCCCAAGGACTTTCAATACCAGCTGGGAAATCCCAATATTCAAATATGGGTTGAGGTGTCTTTATTCAAAAGTTGTCAAGAAAATCTCAGAAAACATTAAAAATAGGATTCAGACCAGTTTTCCAGAGATTATTTAAAAAAACAAAAAAACAAGCTGCATCTCTGGAACCAGCCGTGATATCAGGATGATCTAAGTATCCGGATGTAGTTTAACAAGCGGTACAAAGACGTCCACTGTCACTGAGGGTTTTGAATAGTGAATGTTTGTAGTTTCTGTTTTGCTGGACCAGAATTGATGTAAACCTTAATTTATTTGGCGCAAGATAGTCTAGTGTGTAACAGTTCCACTGAGTATAAGAATAGTAGAATGTTTTATTTTATTTTTTTGTCCGGGAAAGCATAGAGTGATGGATCCCAGCAAGTGAAGGGAGCAATTTTATCTTCCACCAGGCACAATGGCGGAGCCAGGGGGAGGCCAATGGTGGCGTTGGCCATCATAGATTAAACTCTGGCCACCACACCAGTCACCAATCATTTGAGGAAACTATGATTTTAAGCAATATAAAAACTAGAATGCATATTTCCTCAAGTGATTGAGGTGTCTGGTTTATATATAATTAATGGTGGTGGCCATCTTGGATTTTGATGTGGCAATCCACATTTCGAAATGAACCTTTCTTATGCTTAGATCAGGAGCCTGCGACCTTTTAGATAAAGAGTAATTTCTATTCTTTGCTTACTAAACAAAATGTGTCCAGAGCTGCACATTCTGCTACGCCTGTGAATATCAACTGGTGGTCCATGGGCCACTTTGAATTTATATGAAGGTTTTTTTTTTTTTCCCAGCCAGTGGGCGTGACATTATAAAGCAAGAATTATATATAGAATTTTGACATTAATATTTTTACATTTTAGGGATTTTGTTAAGTATGCAATTGTGACTTTTAAAAATTTTAATTTCAAAACAAAACTTTCTACTTTTACTTCAATTATGTTTATTTATTTGATTCACCCTATTTCTTCTAGGCAATTTGGCTTTAAATTTAAATTAAACTTTAAATTTTGGGTTATCTTTGGTCAAAGCTTCAAGGGGCTGCAGACCAAGGACCAAAGAGCTGCATGTGGCTCCAGAGCCTTAGATTGCAGACCCCTGGCCTAGATGCACCCACATACCAAAATGGAAGTTGGTACCTCACTTATTCAAGTTATTGTGCTCACAACATGCACAGACAGACAAACAGACCAACAGAGGGTGTTTCCAATTTCCCCTTTTCACTCCACAATGGGGGACAACATGCCAGGAATCAGAAAATGTGCTTAGTTTATTTTGACCAAATCTGACTTTAATCCCTGATTTGATGCGATGGGTCACACACACACACACACACACACACACACACACACACACACAC